TAAGACTTTTTATACAAGCCTTCTGTAAGTATCTTACACAAGCCTTGTGTAAGCAACCTTACACAAGTCTTGGATCAATCTTAGCAGCTGGGCACAGAACCTTATATAAAAACAGTAACAGAATATAATATACCAGACCTTATATATTCCACTGCACTAAAATTACCCTATTTTAGTTGCTGTCTCACTAAATAACGCAATTAAATTAAAATAGCTCATTTCTAAGAGTCCTTCTTACGAACGCCTTTCTTTAACACTTAACAATTATGTAAAAAGTTTTTCGTGTAACAGTTAACTTACAGAACGCTTAAGAGTGCTTACACAAGCCTTTTGTAAGATACTTACCTCTTGTGTAAGAAGGCTTACACAAGTCTTCTGTAAGGACTCTTTATACAAGGCTTGTGTAAGTATTTATCACAAGGCTTTTATAAAGAGTCCTTACAGAAGACTTAAAGGTGCTTACAAAAGGCTTGTGTAAAACACTTAAAATAGCCTTGTATAAAAGTCCTTACACAAGCCTTGTGTAAGAGTCCTTACACAAGGCTTGTGTAAGAGTCCTTACACAAGGCTTGTGTAAGGTTGCTTACACAAGGCTTGTGTAAGATAATTACAGAAGGCTTGTGTAAGATACTTACAGAAGGCTTGTGTAAGATTTACAGAAGGCTTGTGTAAGAGTCCTTACAGAAGGCTTGTGTAACGTTGCTTACACAAGGCTTGTGTAAGAGTCCTTACAGAAGGCTTGTGTAAGGTTGCGTACACAAGGCTTGTGTAAGATACTTACAGAACGCGAAGAAGGCTTACACAAGGCTAGTGTAAGATACTTACAGAACGCGAAGAAGGCTTACACAAGGCTTGTGTAAGATACTTACCGAACGCGTAAGAAAGCTTACACAAGGCTTGTGTAAGATACTTACCGAACGCGTAAGAAAGCTTACACAAGGCTTGTGTAAGATACTTACAGAACGCGAAGAAGGCTTACACAAGGCGTGTGTAAGATACTTACCGAACGCGTAAGAAAGCTTACACAAGGCTTGTGTAAGATACTTACCGAACGCGTAAGAAAGCTTACACAAGGCTTGTGTAAGATACTTACAGAACGCGAAGACGGCTTACAGAAGGCGTGTGTAAGATACTTATTTACAGAGGGCTTGTGTAAGAGTCTAACAAAACGCCGAAGAAGGCTTACAGAAGGCTTTTGTACAAGTCTTTACACAAGGCTTGCTACAGAAGGCTTATTGGAGATTTATACCGAAGACTTGTATAAGAGTCATTACTGGCGGTTTGTGTAAGAAAGGCTTGTGAATCGCTTAGGGTATTCTTTAAAGACTTGTGTAAGACTCGTTATACCATGTACAAATGCCTTCGGTATCCATCTTTAAAACCGCTTTTCTACGCTATTAAAGTCATCGATATTGGGGTTTTTCGCGATTGTAGTGATAAATGCCACTTGCAGAGCAGGGAGCTGTTGGCGATCATTTTTCAACGATGATTGTTCGCTCCGTTTGAAAGAGTCTTCCTTTTCTTCCTTGACTTTTTTGAGAACCTCCCAAGATAATGATGATTTTGTCGTTTATAATCCTCCCATGCTACCCACAACATTAATGATACGTTTATCTGAGTTCATCTATGAGACTTTATTTTCAAAACTTCTACAAACAACAAATAGCAGTAAAAAAATTGTCAATAATCGGTGAAGGATGTTGCCCAAGCTACATGCACGGCATGGTAGGTAGTCTCACATGAGGTAGTGAGTCATATTATGCTAATTTCGATTATAATTATGATTTAATTTGCCCTGAGTTTCAGTGATTTGATTGTACTAAGATGTATATATATATACATATACTACTGTGGGAACTGTCTAATAATTTTAGGACAAAACAAAACTTGCCTTTTTCTTGTCAATTTCGTTCTTTAGTGGTGACAATATTGCCACAATCAGATGAGTCATTCAAGCGCTCAGTGTAAAAGACTATTGTTTGCACCTGCAAATGAGTACTGACAACAATACTCCCATTGTTTGCTAACCTTAAAAACAGTTGTCAGCAGTCAGTCCACAGTCTGCATTTTACACTGCCCTGTTATTCAAGAGACCATTTAGCCAAAGGCCGCTTGCAGTTTATTAAAATCAGCTATGTTATTTACCAAAAAGGGAACAAAGCAAATTTTTTTTCCACTTGTGATTTCTATGCATTTATTGAAAGGACTCTTTGAGGTTGACGACGTTGAATAATTATGATCCTTTTGGAATATATCAAAATACCAATCTTTATTATATTAAAGTAAGAAACTTTTGGTTTGTTTATTTGTACATAACTGTACACTTAAAACATTCCCTGGAAGGAATTTGATTTAAATCTGTTTGGTATTGCTCAGATGGCATTGTAAAGACAGCCATACTAGGCTATCCATGCAGTGAGCAAGCATCTTGGGAGAGAGATGCTGTACAAGGTAAATTATGCCTTTGATACATTTTGTCATTTGATACTTTGGGTTGAGCACCGTAGAGGCTTCTTTTGACCAACTGTTATAATTTTCGGCTCATTATGTCATAATAGAGGTAATTGAAATGGCTCAATCACATGAAGACCCCCTTGATGGCAATTGAATAGTTTTTCCACACTTAAACTATATCCAATTCAATAATGATCTCGAAGTCCTGAGCCTTTGATTGTACCTCCCTTCTTCCTTAAGCCCTTCATGTCATACATGTACAGAAAGGCATAAAATTGTGTTTTCTTACCTCAATTAGTCTTATTGCTCAAGTTATAAAGATTAATATTAACAACAGTCTTTAGAAAATACGTTTTACTGCAATAAGTACTAAGTGGTTTTTTGTTTATTCATAAGTTGGAGAGATAAATGAGGAGGCAAATAGTCTCTACGGAGCAGAACTTGGTACGTTTCACTTCAACTGTATAGTATTATTAATTTTTGCTAATTCTGTTTTAACCTTTGACCTTCACACCGATTATTGGTTTTCCGCAATGGTTCCATCACAACCCGGCCCATTTTGTGTAGTTATTTTAGCCTGGATCACCATTCCTGAGAAATGAACTGTATGCTTTACCCACCTTCGACTAGCCATTATTATTACTGACTGACCTTGCCGTTAGGGATAATTTAATTACAGATATTTTCTGAGTCATAAAATTTTGCAATTTGTTGAAACAAAATGAAATACCATATCGTTAATACATGCACAATTACACGCAGCTTCTATTTATAAATCAGCCGGTATATATAATAATACAAACACATACATGCAGTCTTACACAATCATATACATCTGTTTAATTTGTCTTTTTTGATGATATGCATATTATTATCAAAAACATACACAACGATTAATTATTATTGTCCATATTATTGGTTCAGTGGCAGTTGCACCTTACATCACTACAATATACGTGAAGAATTCTCTACATAAACTCCCATGTGCTCCTAAGTCAATTGATTGCAGTCACAAGCCATGCCATACAACTGATCAAGATAAAAATAACTTTATATTATAGTAAATTACTTTTCCAAGTATAATTATTACCCAATCATGTAAGCTTGTGCTATTTGAAATTATACACAGATGCATGCTCATATGGTTCCTCATTTGACTTGAGGTTAATGGAGGAGCTCCTCTATTTGAATGGAGTGACACAAAGACTGTTACCTTTATGTTTGGCACCTTCACAGGTATGTGTTAGTTAGTGCATACACAAGGATTTGTTGTGTAACGGACGTGGTAATCTGAATCACCTTTTTGTAAAAAGTCATCATTTCATACACTGTATTTCATAGGTTCGATTACAGAGTCATTACGACTCCGCACCGGTCTGTATCCTAAGATTCAGGCCAACCAAAGAGGCAGCGGAAATTTTAAGGTAGGCATAGAATGGGTTATTGTAAATGTTATAGATTTATGGTATTGTGTAAAGGAGTGAGAAGGGTACCAGCTTTGTGTATAAGTTTTGGCTTCTTCACAGAACATTAAGATCCATGTCTGTAAACTAATGAAATAGACATTAAGGGGCTCCATATAAATTCTAAATAAGCTGCAAAAGGAAAACTATAAGAAAAGGGGCAATTGCAGATTTTTTTTTTTCTTCTTTCCACATAAACATATACTATGAAAACAGAACTTCTTGTTGTTTTTTGCTCGTAGTAAGCGCGAAAAAAGCAGTTGCTGGAATTGCATGCATTTTGAGAAGGGCCATACAATGTACCTGAATGGAACACCTAGTAGACGTTAATGAGAAGAGATAGTATATTTTAAACTTGTTTTCGGTAATTCACTTTGAGAATTGTTCTGGTTCAAAGGTGAAACAAGAAAGCCCAGTCCATGATTGTGACTTCCCTGTCCACTAGTATATAATTTTTTTTTCCCTGCTCACTTTCTTTATATGCCAAGATTGATTGCCTATTTGAGGCTGATAAGTTATGTTATTTGAACTTGTGAACGTAACTGCGTAACTTGGTACATTCGACGAGAACTTATTAACTTCTTTATACCTCTCTTATTGACAGAGAACTGATGTCAGAATGCAGTGATGTTTTAAGCCAGTGCCACATACATGTGGCACTCAAAGGCTCACAATTTGACAATGAAGGTATTGTGAGATACATGTACGTACGCTTCTGCTACAATTCCTGATTTTCAACATCACTTTGGGCTTGCAAATAACAGCTATTTTGTAACAAGGCACTAGACTTGTTTCTTTTAATACATTTTACCCATGGTCAATGAGCATAGTAAAAAAACAATTTTCCTAGCTGAGAGTCTAGTGATCCGAACATTATAGAGATCGAAACTTACGTTTTCGAAAATTTCAGGCAGAAAAAAAGGCTCCAGAAAATTCTAGGTGACCTTTTAGAGTAAAAATCCGTTAAAAATGGGCATTTATACAATTAGATGTTCGAAAATCCTAGGAGAGGCTGGCTAGAAAGAAATTGTAGGAAAATTTTGCGAAAATTCTAGATCTCAAATCGTCTTCCGAACAGATATTTTCCGAAAATTGACGTTGGGTGCCCCTGGCCTTTAACGGGTTAATTCAGCTTGTGCTGTACATGATTTTCTATTATACTTCTTCTGGGTGTTTTCCTACATCATCCCCCGCTACCGGTCTCTGCCAACCATTTGTACCATTCTTTATTCATTTGCTTCTACTTTTACTTTTAGTGTGTGGGAATCATGCGCGGCAGAGCGAGAACGGGGCAGATGTGGAAGTCAGAGTGTACCAGCCCACGATGTCATCGGCCAACATGGTAGTTGGGGACATCATTTCCGGTAAGTGTGTCAACTTGGTGTAAGGGACAGATGAAAACACTAAATCGGACTAAATCTAACCTTTGACATAATTGTGATGACTGAATGTTATGTCAGCAATATTTTGCGTCCAACCATACTTAATTTGATTCCCCCCTCAGCTAACCATCTTGTTTAAAAGGAAAGTGCACATTCAATTTGTAGTTTATAGGGCGGCACTCCACTCAAAGACTTATAAAAAATTGTAATACAACATAACAGGATTAAAAACCCTCAACTGGCAGGATGTAACCAGTTGGCTATGTACAAGCGTGGTCGAGGATTTGAACTCGGGACGACCGAGAACAAATCCAGATGTGGCCAGAGTGGGACTCGAACCAGGGACTGCCGCGTTGCGCACCCGACGCGCTGACTACTCGACCACGCTGCCTTACCTTTAATATAACCAATCCAATTTTACTCCGAAGGAGATGATTTGACTGTGAATGTGAGGAGGGCAATAGGAGAGGCAATTGTGGCTGCCCAGGCCGTACGCTGTCAAAGGTACATGTGATACTGCATTTGTAGTTTCTCTCATGATAAATTTCACCCCAACTTTTCCTATTTAAGGACAATATTATGGACGAGTTTATTAATATTCCATTTTATACCTTCTACGTATCTCTCGAAATACGGTTCTTCAGTTTGAATCCAAATGGCATAATTTTAAACATGACCAGAATGTCTCTTATCCGGCTCAAAATTTGATGGGACAATCGAAACGAAAGCATTTTACTAGGTCTAGCAAAATATATATTTATGTCTATTATAATCGTTTCAGGGACCTGATAGTTGAAAATAGAAATTTAAGAGAGCGCCAAGACATGGAGGCAAGAGCGTCGGTGAGTTGGAGTACCACTGCAGTGCTAATTGTTGAAAAGTAAATTGCTAGTGAGCGCCTTAAGTTCCTTGAAGCCCTTGAATACTTCTTCAATTTGTGTTGTTGAAAAGTACGCTTTTTATCATACTCCAAACTAGGCCGATAGGCGATAGAAAACGTATGACTTTGATTTACAGTTCCCTTTAATCAGCTACAGCGTACATTTGTGAGACTACACTGCGAACCAAAAATAGGAAAAGACCATTGATTTAACGTAAAAAAAAGTAACAAGATTATCAGTACTTCGTAGCAAGCGTTTTTGGAGCAAATAACGTGGAAAGAGGGCTCTTGTGCCATTTTTTTGCACGCGACCAAAACCGAAAATCCCGATTTTCGTCGTTCCTCGGTTTTTCTTTTCACGAAAACCAGACAGTAACGCTTGCTGCACAGACTAGAAATACTACATAATGTACACAACTGTATACATGTACACAAGTCCAAGTAAACCACATTTAAAATTTAATCGAGACCATCGACTAATGTACAATGAACCAGTTTTTTTTTTTTCTCTAGGAAATGGCCGACAGAGCACATGCACAAAAAAAGGTAAGCAAAAAATACTTGGTCACTGACTTAGTGTCAAAAGATAACCTTACAGAGACAAACGATGTCGTTGGGTATCGACGTTAACTTCGTAACTTCCACGTGCAAATTCGTAAAAAACTGGTGACAAAGGCTGATTTACGGACATAATAGGGCTCTACCCCATCAGCATTGTAGTTTAAAAAAGTGATACAGTAAAAACCCGCGAGTAAGAACCTGAAAATTAAGAACCTGTTTTGCCATTTATACCCCCTATAAAGAAGAACCTGTTTAGCCAAGAAAATGAAAAATCATATTAGTGAAATGCAACGACAAACCTGTGCAAGAATCCTGTTTGGAGAATTAGGAGCTTGGTATTGCTGTGCAAATAAAAGTGCTAATTTATTGATGTACTAAAAAAATAAAGTGCAAGAAGTTTAATAATATTGTTCTATCGCATTTTGAAATTGAAAAATAGGCTGATTACCATCTTGTTTTGTAGCTTGTTTTGTTTTGTTTGTTTGTTTTTTTTTTACAGAAATAAGAACCTATTTAAGAACCTAAATAGCCAAAAATTGTGTAAACTACCATTTAAAATTAATAAGAACCTGTTTAGGCTAACGCCAGAAAATGTAGGTTCTTACTCGCGGGTTTTTACTGTAAGTTATAAAGATATCAAAATCTATTTTTCTTTTTCTGGAAGTTGCCTGCCGTCGAAATTGACGAGGATAAAGAAGAAGATGATGAGGAGGAGGAGTCTTTGGATGCCACTGTTGTTGACACGGAGGAGGTAAACGTACATGATAAGCTGATATGGGGCTACGCGTGTTTTATTCACCGTTTCATGCATGTAAAATGAGCGCAAGACCATGCCCATCAAGATGGACTTAAAGTGACGTCCACTGATACAAAGGCCCGCGTTATTTGTTTTTTAACACCACATATAACGTTGACTCCATAAATCGATCTGGCCTGTTCCAGGCTCCGAGATAGTCGGGTCCGCTGAATTGAGAAAGTGCGAACACGAAAATAAAATGGGAGGAACTGGGGAGAGAAGGGCAACTTTTCTCTTGCCTTTTACTTTCGCGTCTGCTCCACTGTCTGAGAGCCTGGAACAGGCTCAAATCGATCACGCAATGTTTAATTTTCTGTAAGTGTAGAGTTTGTCCTGGACAACCAAAACATGACAGATATATAAAAAACGCGGTATACTATGGGTGTATATAAATATATATCATTATATTTTTTAGGTAAGAAAAAGGCGGATCGAGAAATATTCACAAAAGGTAATATAACTGTGAGCGTTAAAGCTAAGTTAGTGACAGTGTGGCTATCCTCTTATAAACGTCATCCTTTTTTACGTTAACAGGACGGGCCAAGGGACCCTAAAATTCCCAAGAAAGATGATGATGATGACGAAGATGCCAATGACAGTACAACGGTAAGGCTTCTTTAAGTGTATTTTGTTTCGTCTTAATACATTTCACGGCCTGCTGAAATTTGAAGCTGCACCTCGAAAAATGTGATGAATGTTATAACGTGTGCAGAATGTGGACTAGATTACAAACGGGAAACGGGTGATGTCCAAAGAAAATGAGTGACGGTACACAAACAACAAATCAGAGACCCGCAAAAAGAAATGGTGGGAGTTTAATACTGAACATATTGATAAATGTTCTGCGGGTCTAACACTATGATTTCTTTTCTTTTTCTTTTTTTTTTTTTTTCATTTTCACACTGAACAAACAACGACAAATAAAAGTTTGAATTGAAAATTATGCAAATTGCTCTTGGAGAGAAAACAGGTCAATAAAGACACTACGCCTGAAGAGCCGCAATAGTGGTGAAAAGCGAAGCATAGAGCAAATTTACGACTTCCATTTTCTACTATTTATTTTATTTTTATACGACGAAGGCAGTTTTATTTTGTTTACAGTTTTGTTTTGTTGTTATCTCAACAGGTGACAATGAGGACAAGTGGAAATTGAATACTTTTTTCCTTTCCATTCCTTTTTTCTTTTTCAAAAAATAAGTCCATATTTAAATATTACAATGTGTATATAAACAGATGATTGTGTTTTGATTATGATTATAATTTAGTCAAAATTAAGCGTTGGATAACCTACATGTTTTTTTAAAATTTATTATTGAACACAGCATTAACATTCCGCTTAAATATGCAGATTCCAAAATTTGTTAATATAATTTCTATGCATTGAGGATTCACTCTATATAATTCACTCCGCATTCACCGAGTAAACAGTGAAGTAGCTCAGTTTGTGTGATTTAAATTGTATGCTCGTAGTTTCAGTTAGATTCGGAATCAGCGCAGCGTAACTAAAAAGAGGCATTCATCACTTAGGGCGCTTTCCATTTGTCAGAACTGGCCGGCCGGACAATTGCCGGACCAGTCAGTTAGCAAATGAAATCGGCTTTTTGGCAAGGGTAATTGCTTAAAACGCTATGTCCCTCGTGCATACTTTTTGGGACTTGACTGATCAGGCTTGATAGTTTTGATTAAAAGTGAAATTTTCGTTAAGACGGGAACAGTCTGCCCGTTCTGACAATTGGAAGGTGCCCTTAGTTGTAGCAAGACGGAAAACTGTCTCGCAGCCTGGAACAGGCTAGCCGGCCGCAACTTGTGAGATCGACCTTTAGTTAGTCTAGGCTTGGTGGTGAAATTTTCTCATCTGGCATCATTCATTGGGACCATCATATCATTATAATAGTGTTACTGTTACTAACAGACAGTCAAATAGCCCACGTTCCTGCATGTATTAAATACAGCTGAGATGAGGCCCAATTTTAACTGTTCTCATACATTCCTTCTAACGGCTACCGCTTTTTTTTGTGCTCAAGTCTCTTCGGGGATTGCGAATTAGAATGTAAAAATATGGAACGTGCGCTACTAAGAAAATATTAGGCTGAGATGACACAAGAGACATATATTTTGATCTCTATATATCAATGTTAGATGCGTGTTTAATGTGGTTACCATTAATGTGACAACGTTGTTTTTATGCATGTAGAAAAGGAAAAATTGAGTAATCGACAAATCAGTGGGATTTTATAAAATTGTATTGCTATTTACGTAATCTTTTTAAATACCGTTGCTCAGAACATAGCAGCATAGGACTAGAGAGAAAAAAAAACTAACCTTACAGTGAATACGTTGATTCTAACGTCATAGGACTATAGAGAAAAAAACCGAACCTTAAAGTGAATACGTTGATTCTAACGTCATATTTAACATTTTTTAGATTTATATAGAAACTCGGTAAAAAAAAAAAAAAAAAAAG